GGGGTAGACTTGCCACGAAGGCATGCGGAGATACGCGCGAAGGTTGCACGCATGGCGTGCGTCCGAGACGCACGCGGGGCCGCCGGACTTGTGATGGAGTGGGACTGCAGCACACCGATAAGCACGCAGCGCTCGTATCCGCAGCATGCGTCCCGGACGCACGAAGCCTTGCGGAACCTATTCAAGTCCTATATATACTCCATGCCAGTCGCTTATCCCTTTCTCTTTTCACTCTTCCCTTCCCCCTGCCCCTCATGCCGACACCTAAAGTCCCCTCTGCGTTCCTTGACCTCGTCGGCGCCAACCGCGACCTGTGGACATGGGAGCCTTGGATCGACTTCACAGGGCTGAGCGACGCCCCCTGGAGCGGCAAACCCGGCTCAAAGCCCAAGGGCTGGACGGACGACGACGTCGTGAGCGTTCGCGCAATGGTGAACGCGTATTGGACGGTCGCGCCGAAGGACCGAATGGTGTTCTTCAAGGACCGGCAAAGCGGCGCAAAAGGCAAGTCCAAAGCGTCATCCCCCCTCTCAGCGGCCGACCTGGGCGTCCTTCACACGGACGCCCGCAACAAATGGTCGGCGTGGTTCAACGAGCTCGGCCGCGAGCACTTGGCCAAGTTGGTCGACGACATGCTGATGGAAGAGGGACACCATCCCACGCAGCTTATGAAAGCGAATGCGACACAAAAAGTAAGTCGCAACCACAACATTAATAATGGTCTTTTGACTGACGCTCACGTTCTCAGATGCCTACTATGGCAGCCGCGATGGTGACGTCGATATACGTTGACCTCGCGGAGCAGTTATTCGGGCGGGACGCGCTGCTGACTGACACGGTGGTCAAATCAGAGGTGATCACGTTCTTCAATGCTCTTCTGTACGCGACGTGGCGGCGATGGACGATGGTGGTTTCCAGACAGAAGGCACAATTGGCAAGCAAGCTGGACGCTGTGCATACCAGATGGTTCGGTGAGTGTTAGATTACTGTGTCTATGTGTATACTTGACATCCTGAACAGAATTATCGGCCAACGAGGAGAACGTCACCGTGTTTCGTCTCACTCAATTCTTCCAGACGGTAACCCGCGTCTTAGAGCTGACTGAGGCGCTCAGCGACAAGACAGCGGAAGCTGAAATGAACGTCCTCAAGTCGGATCTGCAGAGTATGCTGAATCTCATATCTAGCGGGCCGGACAGTTCAGGCGAGACGAAACGTAAGTTCTGCTGTTGTTCG